TCCAGGCCCAGCTTCAGAAAGAGGAAGATCAAAACTGGTTGGAATTGCATGCAAAACTTGAAAAGCTTGAATTGCTGGAAAAAGAGTGTCTCAAACTTACTGCTACTCAGAGAATCGCAGAGGTGAGCATGTGTGGAATGTCAGACTGAAAGTCATTCACTTGATACAATTTGTGTGGCACACCAGTCATAGTTCTCAGTTTCAGGAAAGTTTCCTGTGTTCAAGCTAAGATTGCCTACGTGATGAATGCCACCTTGGCTCCATTTGCAGGAGTCTTTTTTTAGTCTGGGCTTTAAAAATTCCTCTAGACCTGCTTTGTCCCAGATTCTGATAGCAAGTTGATTCAGACTTCTGAATCAGCATGGCACATTGAAGGGTGACTAACCATTCTTGTCTTCAAATTCAGGACAAAATCAAACACTTAGAAGAAAAGCTTTGTAAAGAAGAGCATCAGCATAAGCTTCTACAAGACAAAACTGCTCAGGTAGACTGAAAAAGTTTTATCTTATTTTTTTTATGACTGAACAAAGCTCTTTTCTCTGTCCAAAATACCCTTTTTATTATATTTAAACTCCACATGGTTATTACCCAGGCAGAGCTCCTGGAATACACCCTGGGAGTGAACTGCATGGTAGAAAGCTTGCTGGGTGTGTTGCATATCTCAGTCTATTCTATTTGGGTTTGTATTAATGATACGGTTCTTCAGCCTCAAAGCTGCTATAACTCATTTGGGTATAAAAGGAATTTCTAAAGAATCTGCAACTAAATCAGATAATTTTAACTTACAGTGACTAGAAAGTGGTCATGCAAGAAACCTTATACCCCAAGGAAGGTTGGTTATTCTGTTTTCCTCTTTTTGTTGAGATCTGCTTGAAGTCTAATATTTTTTACTATATGTGGGAAAGTCATTAATCAGTGATACTGTTACATTGTTCATTAAGTGAGAGCTTGAACATTTCATTATTCTGTGGAGCCATAATAATTTTGTTGGGCCACCATCCATCTGAGAGGGGAGTCTTTGCCAAAGAGAGCAAAATGGAATAAACCTTTTGTTTAAGGGGCAAAGTAGTAGCACTCCAAGCCTCACTTCACTGAGAAGTAGCAACTGTTTTGAAAACAAGCAGTTGTGGTGGCATATTCATTTGATGAAGGGTGGGGGAGATGCACAGCTGAAGAGTAATATTGGAAGAAGCCAGCCATAAGTGAGGCTGACAGCTGAAATTAATTCATCCCTGCTGTCAGTTTTTATACCTTATCCAAGGATGATGGGCTTTGATCAGGCCAGGAAGCCTGAAATAACATGCAGGTTTCTGACCACCTCCAGGATCCAGCACAGTTGAAAACTGGCAGGTTTTTGGGTTTCTTGCTTAAACTGCTTCTCTCTGTCTCCAGATTGTAAGGCCCAAAGGTTCATATTCTTTGAATTTTATTATGAGATCCCCAGCATGCAGCAGGATTGGCTTATCTCAGCTGCTGGTTGTCACAGTGGAAAAGTATGAATTATGAAAATGTGACTTCTAAGACAGAGCTGTGAGATCTGCTTGATACTCTGCTATCCTAGTCATCTGTACAAGTGTAGCTTAGTTCTTCTAAGCAGGACAGTTCATATTGCCCTTAATTGGTTCTCATCCATGCATGAAGGAGTGAATGAAACCATCTGATTTCATACATCTGATATTACATTAAATGGTTGCTCTGTTTTTTTGCTTTTTCCACAGCTTGAAACAGGATTTGAAGTAAGCAGAATTTTGATGTCTTCAGCACCATCTCAAAAAGAACCTAAAAAGGAAAATGGGAAGAAGAAAAAAACTAAGAAGGTAACATGGAAGTTTTTATTAACATACTGTTGCTGGTAGCATCAGACTTGCACAGAGCTTGGAATTTGTGAAAAACAGGGATGTGAGAGACACTTGATCCATCTGCTGCACTTCATTTCCAAAGTGACAAACATTGCTGAATACCTCTTTATTTTTTTCCCCACATTTTGCTAATTAAAACAGTGCTGGGACTTGTAGCATCTCACTGGAAAACTTTCCCTTACCAGCATGAGGATAACCTCTGTTACAATCTTGCTGCTATCCCCCACCTCCTGTCTCAGCTGCCTCTCAGTTTATCTGGCAAAATCAGTGTCCAGAGCAATTTCAAGCAGGCATCTCATGATGGTGTGTGTTGGGGGATTGCTGAAATCAAGGAAATTCGTTTTGCAACACGTTACAGGTCAGCCAAAATGTTGCAGCTGTGGTTTTGCAAACTTTAGCAAGCAGAATTCATTGTCTTGAACATCCACCTAATTGTCAAACTATCTTCTGAATGCATCTGGAACAGAATTTACTTGTTTCACTGTGGGAAAATCCTACTTTTTGCACATAGAGGGGGAGGAATATTTTTTTTCAACCAGAAGGAAACTGGAGTGATGCATTTTGCTGCTTGTTTATTTGAGTTCTACTTATTTTAAAGACAATGATGAGGGTTGTGCTGTTGGGTCAGCAGTATTGGAATGTCCTCTCTTACTTTTCCTGTGTCTTCTGGCAGAGAAATCCCACAATGAAGAAAACGCACCTTTCACAGTTACACGTAAGGGCTGGTGAACTGCCTTTTGTGGCTGGGAAGGTGAGTGACACCAAATGTTCTCACTAGATTGGCATGTCTCTTTAATTGTTAATCACTTCTGCAAACCACTTAATCACTCTGCTTGAAGTCTGTCAGCTCCAGCCACTCTGTCAGTGCAAACGTGCAGAGTGTGCTGCATCTCATGAAGCATCGCAGCCCATGGATCTCATCACGGAGCCAAGGAGGAGCTACACCTGGGATTTCAGGATGCAATGCACTTTCAGAACCTGAATCCTCTTGGGCCCCATCACCTGCTGCCACCAGAAGACTTTCGGACCATCTGTTGGCCCTACAGGACGAGCTGGGCCAAATGAGCTTGTGAGTACTCATCTCTGGTGTTGTGAGTAGAAGTGCTTTCAGTGGTAGCCCTGTGAAGCTACAGGTGTGTGCTGGAACTGAGCCCAGCCTGTTTTAAGAGTAGGACTGACTACTTGTTGACAGAATGGCCTGAGCAGGCCTGACTGGTAGGATTTTTCTCATTCAGAAAATTCTTTCTGTCCTGGTGTTTAACTTATGAGCAAACGATAAACTCTTCAGCTGAGTCTTTCTGCTTCCACATCTTAACCAAGCTGCTACTGAAGCAACAACTGCAGCAAATGAACACTTTTTAAGGCCTGTGCTTTTTAGAAATTTTAAACATATTCTGAAATCTACTGAGCAGACCAAGAGTGTTCTGGAGAGGGTTGCAAAGGTGGTGTTGATGTTGAGTAGGCCTGCAGGATGCAATGAGTTTAGGTGGCAGACTAGGTTAGTACAGCAGTGGCAGGAATAGTCATAGAATCATAGAATGGTTTGGGTTGGAAGGGACCTTCAAGATCATCCAGTTCCAACCCCCTGCATGGGCAGGGACACCTCCTGCCAGCCCAGGCTGCTCCAAGCCCCATCCAACCTGCCCTTCAACACTGCCAGGGATGGGGCAGCCACAGCTTCCCTGGGCAACCTGGGCCAGGCTCTCACCACCCTCACACTCCACAATT